AGCTCTCTATGGTGCTACGAAGCGCTGCCCTGGGTGGGGGAACCGCATGCGGGCACCCCCACTGGGGCCTCCGGTGGAGCTCCCTATGGGGCTACGAGACGCTGCCATGGGTGGGTGAAACGCAGGGAAGAGGGGGAGGAGGGAGGAGTGGGAGGAGGAGGAGGGGTAGGAGGGAGGAGGGGGAGGAGGAGGAGAGGAGAAGGACGCGGGGCGCTGTCTCTTCAAAACAAGGACCCAACAACCCAACACCACAGGATGGTTGGGGAAAAACAGAAAGACCAAACATACAAATCGTTTCCTTGCATCGAGGGCGCCAAACACTGTGTACTCTTGTTTTTTGTGTTACTACAAAGAGGAGGAAACGGAAAGGAGAATGCGGAGGAGGAGGATGGGCGAGGAGGAGGAAGAGGAGGAGGAGGAGGAGGAGGAATTGTGTTTGGAGAAGGGGGAGGACAGAAGACGAGAAAGAAAGGATGAAAAAGAAGATGATGAACGTGAATACGATTCAAGGTAACATGTATGATCTTGGGGGGGAGCCATACACACACATACATACATACATACATACATACATACATACATATATATATATATATATATATATATATACACACACTGGCCTGGGCCGGCCCACCCCGCAACTATCGGGGGAAGCCCGCTGATATCCCCCCCCCGTTTCGCTCTCTCGAGGCGGCCCGGAGAGGCCAAGAGGGTGCCAAAACGAGCCAAGAGGGTTCCAAAAGGCCCCCAAGACGGTGTAAGAAGGTCCCGAGCTGCCCAATACGGCCCAGAAGGATTCCCAGAGCATTCCGAAGAGGGACCCAAGAGGCCCAAATCATCAAATTCCTTCGGGAGAACGTGCATTTGCAGCATGTGCGACTTTTCAACTTTCGCGGCTGTCAAGACGGTCCAAGTGGCTCCCAAGACGCCCCAAGACAGCCCAAGACGTTCCCAAGAAGCCCCCGGGCCAGCCCAAGAGGGCGCCAAGACGGCCCAAGGGCCGCCTAAGACGGCCAAGTTGACCCCAAGACGGCCCAAGAAGGCCCCGGGTCGCCCAAGACTGCCCAAGATGGCCCCACGACGATCCAAGAAGGCTCCGAGGCGTCCCAAGAGGCCTCCAGGAGCACTCCCAGGAGGGCCCCAGGAAGCCACAATCATAGAATTCCTACGGGCAAACGTGCATTCTGGCTCCCCGGCCCTGGGGCGGCGCATTTTTTCAAATTTCCCACGGCTCCGTTTTTAGGGCCCGGGTGGGGGCCGACCCTTTTAGGGGCGCTTCGGGGCTGGCCCGATGTTGGGAGGCCGATGTTGGGAGGCCGCAGATCGGCCCCCAAAGCGATCAGGTAGCAGATCCGGCGGCCCAAGACGGCCCCGAGCCACCTCGAAGACGGCCCCCAGGGGTCCCCAAATATCTCAAGGAGCTTTTCAAACGGACCAAGAGGCCCCCTCAGACGGCCCAAGAAGGCTCGAAGAGGACCCCGACGAGTGCCCCAAGAGGCAAACATTATAATTTGTCGGCAGGGTTTTGAAGGATTTTGACGTTCTTACCGCTTCGGGCTTCCGACGCTCCTACACGGTTGAAGAGGCGCCCACGACCGCCCCGAAACGGCCCAAGAGGAGACCACGAAAATTCTTAAGACGGCGTCAGGGACTTTTCGGGAGCACCAAGATGACTCGGGAGGGCCCCAGAACGGCCCAAGAGGCCCCCCAAGACGGACCAAGAGGGGCCGCAGAGCGGCCCCACTGGGCCCCAAGAGGGGGAACATGAACACACAATTCCAGGCTTCCGCCCCCTCAGGCCCCCAGGAGGCCCAAAGAGGCCCCGACGAGGCGCCTCGACGTTCCCAAGAGCCCAAGAGGTCCCCTCGCCCCAGAGGCCCCCAAGAGGCCCGAAAGATGCCCTTAGAAGCCCCAAAACGGCCCCCAAGAGGCTTTACATCCGCGCTCGACGCGGTTCTCGAGAGGCTTCCCACGAGGAACCAACGAACACCCAGCCCAGGCACCGTGGCGGGATTGTCCGAAGGCCATTCTATAGACACATATATATATATATATATATATATACACACATAGACAATCATGCACTCGTATAGATTACGAATGTTTATACGTCTGTACATATCAATACACGGAAGGTCCCAGCCCCCGGGTGTCGTCCAATGCGGAGCCAGGTTCGGGCACCTCAGTTCTCATGTGATTTCTTTCAGCCCCAGACGACGCGCCGTAGAAGCCTTTAAACACCCTTTTACACGGATTTGGGTTACCATATCAAATGGCGGCAGGTCCCACGACCAACTTTAAGGGAACTCCCGAGTCAACCTGGCAGTACAGAACGGCAATTTGCGATGCTAGGTCCTCGATTGCGACTAGAAAATAAGCGCGCGAAGCGCGCGTGGTTCTAGTATATATATATATACACAAGTGGCACGTGTGTGCCCAGGCTCATACAAAAAACTGAAGGGGCGTTCGAAGCAGAAGTGAAATGCAATAGCGAAGTCGCACTCAAGCGCAAGTGGGGTTGCCACACCTTGCGATGTGTGTACCAGGGCCCCCCAGGAAGCCTCAGGAGGCCAGACTTGGATACCGGAAGAGGCTCCAGGAGGCCCCAGAATTGTGAGTGTTGTGTGTGTATGTGGTATGTACTCTGTGTTGTGCGTGGTTTTTGTGCGTTGTAGGTGTTGTGTGTGTTATGTTTGTCTAGCGTGTGATGTGTTGGGCGTGATTTGTGTCTCTGTGTGTGCATGTAGTTCTGAGGCCCCAGGAGGCCCCAGGCGGCCTCAGGAGGCCCCAGGAGACCTCAGGAGGCTTCAGGAGGCCCCAAGAGGCTCCAGGAGGCCGCAGGAGGCCCCAGGAGGCCCCAGGAGGTTTCAGGAGACCCCCAGGAGGCTCCGAGGCGGGGTCTGGGGTACCAGAAGGTTCAGAAAGCCCCAGGAGGCCCCAGGAGGTTCCAGGCGGCCCCCAGGAGGCTCCGAGGCGGGGTCTGGGGTACCAGAGGGTACGTCGGGGCTCGATTTTGGGAGGATGTCCTGGGGCCTCCTGAGGCCGCCTGGGGCCTCCTCGTGGGGCCTCAAAACTATTTGCGCACACAGAGACACAAATCACACCCAGCACATCACACGCTAGACAAACATAACACACACACAACACCTACAACGCACAGAAAACGCGCACAACACAGAGCACACATCACACACACACACACCCACACAACACTCCCAATTCTGGGGCCTCCTGGAGCCTCTTCCGGTATCCAAGTCGGGTCTCCTGAGGCTTCCTGGGGTGCCCTGGTACACACATCGCAAGGTGTGGCAACCCCACTTGCGCTCGAGTGCGACCTCGCTATTGCATTTCACTCACAGCAGCTATCCTCCTCTTCTCCTCCTTCTCTTTCCCTCCACACATTGTCTGGTGAAACAAATCGGCTGGCGGAAATCGTGCTTACACTTCTCTTGTTAATCGCTTCGCTCACTCCGCCAGCCCATCTTGCATCACTGGTGCTATATGTTCGTGTGATTGTGGCGAGCCAGAAGGGTGAGGAGGAGCAGGAGGAGACACGCACTGGCGGCGCCGCCCCAGCTTCCCCTTCTCCATCTCCGATCCCGCCGTCATGGTGTCTTCCTGCTTCAAACGTCCTTTCAGTTTTTTTTTGTACGAGCCTGGGCACACACGTGCAGCTTGTATATAAACATATACAGAGAGACAGGTATACATAGAGACAGAGAGGGACAAAGAGCAAGTGAGAGAGAGGAGGCAGGTAGAGAGAGAGAGAGAGGGAGAGAGGGAGAGAGAAAGAGAGAGAGAGAGAGGGATAGAGCGATGTGGCCCACGAAGCTCAGGTGCCCGATCACCCTTCTCCTCCTCCTCCTCCTCCTCCTCCTCCTCCTCCGTCGGGCCGCTCATCCAAGCTCAACGATGGCCCGAATCTCGAAACGAGGTGTGATCCATCATGGCCAGTATTTACATTCGAAAGAAGGTCGGCTCGGACGACTCCAGGATGCACGCTGCAGACTCTCTGACCAAGGTGTGTGCTCTCAGCAGTCGAGTCAACACTTATCGTTTGTATGTCCATGTCTTGGCGGCCACACCCCGACGAGCACTGACATTATGTCGGCCAACGGCAACCCGCCGAGGAATACTGCCGCGCCCTTTGACATCAGGGCGAGGAGGAGAGAGGTGAGGTGAAAGGAGTAGGGGATTATGATGATTTTGATGATGGGGATGTTGGTGAGAATAGTGATGCTGCTGATGATGATGCTGATACTGATGGTAATGATGATGGTTATCCTGATACTGATGGTGATGATGATGATACTGGTGATGCTGACGATGATGATGATGATACTGATGATGATGATGATGATGATGATGATGATGATGATGATGATGATGATGATGATGATGATGATGATGCTGATGATGATGATAGTGATGACGATGATGATGACGATGATGCCGTTGATGATAATGTTGATGGGGAGTGGGAGGGGAAGGAGGATCAGACGGATGTTTCGGGGTGTGTGATGTTGCTTGCCGCATGGAGGATACATAGGAGATATTCTATCTTTGCCTACGCTGGGGCTCATCGTACTGGAATCATGTACACTCCTAGTGTCTATCAGAGTTGTGACGACAGGGATATAAGAGGAGTGGTGGTAGCAGTGGTAGTTGTCGGCCCTCTCCCCTCTTAGCTCCCCCTGCCCCCTCGTTCCCCCCCTCTTCGTCCCTCGCTCCTCCTTTTTCGCGCCTCCCTCGTTCCTGCGCCTCCCTCCTCTTTTCGACACTGGTAGTAGAAAATGGACGCGCGCTGAGGAGTCACCCTCCTCCTTCCTCCTTGGGTCTCCCTCCTCCCCTTCTACCTCTTTGCTCCTCCCTTCTCCTCTTCCTCTCCCTCCTTCTCCTTCCCCCTCCTCTTCCTCTTGCTCCTCCTCCCAGTGTGATTTTTAGCTTTTGTTCCTGATGTTGGGCCGCTTCCAGAGGTACTATCCCGGGTGCTGAACCTTATGAGGGTGGGCATTCTGGTTGCTCCGGTACTCGTGCAGTCTTTCTTCATCCACAAGGCAATGGTTTTGACTCGCTCGCTCGTGTTTGTCTTCGCCCTTCGCTCACGATACGAGTGGTGTTGCGTGGCGTCGGTGCTGAGACAAGCCGGCACATATCACGAGGTTTGTCATCATTGGCGCAATGTTTTCAACGACGCCTTCAGCCGACGCTCGATGACCAGGTAATTTATCATGGCAACTGTCTTAGGTAGCATGACGGCATATCATTGATGTTATTGTTTTGCTTCTTCATCGACAGCGAATGCTGTAGCGGGTCTCGATGCCCTCTATAAGGGCCCTGTCAGGCTTTTTGATCTTTCGAACCTTCTACCCGCTGTGGTGCTGCGTAGCGCCGTGCGGTATCGCGTGGTGCGGCCTGATGACGTGTGGTGTTGTGTGGACTATACTGGCGATGCGATCGATCTGCCAGGCCACCCCCAGGGGCGCGAAGATAATCGCGCTTCGCGCGTTGCGGCCTGGGCGCAGAGTTGTGATGGTACCCAGTCCCATCAGCCGAAACGGTATGTGTCCGATCAAAAATCGTTGACTGCAACCGTGTCCGAAGTTGTAGCCGAAGACGTAGTGTGACCGAACTTGTGGCCGACGTCGAACATCTTTCTGTCTTCGAACCAAGAGCTATTGGTCACACTCTGGCGCTTTCGGATAAGTCTGGGCACTGGTTTCGACCACACTCAGGCAGATTTTCTGGCATTGTTTCGGTCACTGCGCCCCCCCGATGAAGACAAGGCTGCGTGAGAGTGGCCCATCTCCAGGGTGACCTCGCGAGGGCGCGAAGGAAACCGCGCGCAGCGCATCGTGGGGCGCGAGGCGCGAAGCTCGGTGGCCTAGGTCTGCGGGGAAGGGCAGCTGTTGGGCGGTCCTGGGCTGAGCGCGCAGCGTCTGAAAGCTTGAAGACGTTCTGCCACGTATCTCAGTCTGTCGAAGGACTTACTGCTTCGGTTTCCTACGTTTTTTCGCCTCAGCACGAGACGAGGAAGGGGAACAAGGGGCAAGGGGACGGGGGACAAGGAGGTCAGGGGGAAAGGAGGAGGGTAAGGGGTGGAGGAGGAGGGGTAGAAGTAGCAGGAGGCTTGCTGGACGGAGTCCATACCTCCACATTTCTGGTGAACAATCATCACGGCGGAAGTTCTTTCTTTGTTTGGCCCTAGTGAGGCCCCGCCTTTTTTGGTCGCAGGGCAATCGAACAAAGAGTTCCCGGCATGAATTCTATGCCAAAATATGGGATCAAGAGTTCTGGCGGGGGTCGGTCACGACGACGACGACGACGACGACGACGACGACGACGATGACGACGACGACGACGATGAATGTCTCACTTCCACACTGGAGGTTCGCGAAGGTTCCCAACAACACAAGACTGAAAACGTCCAATGATGTCGGCCCTCGATGCTCAAACTGCGACCCTCGCTGGCGAGGTTGACTTCGTCACCTGGCTGTCACGACTGGCGACGCTCTACGTCCTCGCAGTGGTTTCTTGCTTCTTTGCTGTGCCGGACCAGCTTTACAATGGCATGGGCCTCGCGAGCTTCAGGCGCCCTCCAGGGGCAGGAGGATCGGTAGGAGGAGGAGTAGGGATGAGGGAGGCGGAGGAGGGAGGGGTGAGGAGAAGGGAGGAGGGAGCGTCTTCGCCGGCGGTCATCTTCGCCAACGTCGTCTTCCCCAGCGGTCGTCTTCGCCGGCTGTCGTCTCCGCCGGCGGGCGGGCGGGCTTGCATGCAAGTGGGGGGACCCTTACAGGCGGGTTACAGGGACGGAGGCCGCGTGAGCCCTCTGAGAAGGCCCGCCTCCTCGGCCTTTCTCCTTGGGCGCTCCGCTTAGCCCCGCGACGGACAGCCCATTTCCTACCCTCCACGCGATCAGTCTCAGCCACGCTCAGTACTCTGGATTTCTTAAAAGGCGTGGGGGGTTACCCCACCGACGGGCGGTCAACCTCGCTTTGTCGTCGCGCCGCGACGGGGGTCGGAGCGCCTTCGGCGCGCGGTGGCTGCTCGCGACGGGGGTCGATGCGGGGCTGTCGGCGGGGGTGACGCCCCCCCGACGCTTACTAATAAACTCGGAGTACCCTCCACGCGATCAATCGCAGCCAAGCCCAGTAGGCAGTCTGGAGTTGAGTTACCAAGTCTCTCAGACGCTGGCTCTCTGCACGGCTCCGCGCCCAGCTCATGTTGAACTGGGCCATTGCCTCGCCGGCCTTTTGCTGGCCTGTTGGCCGAAAGTGTGAGCTGGATGCGCACAGAGCCAGGCCAACAGTTACCCCGCCGCGCTAGAGGAGGATCAGGTGCGATGTTAGAGGGGATACCCTCGATCGCTTCTTGATCGCCAATAGGGACCTGATAGGCCAACCCGCTCAGGAATGTGCACATCCGCTGTGTCGGTGGCCCATCGCCGATCTATCGCCGATCTGTCGGCGATGTATCGCCAATTCAAGCTCGATCTGTCCCCCCCGAGCCGGTCCCCCCCTAACTCTCCGCCTCAGAGGAGAAGGAGGAATAGGAGGGATGAATGATTTCAACGGTGCTGGTTTGTCTCGAGGTTTTCCGAGGTGTTTCCACAAGTCTTCTGAGACATCTCCTGCATCTCTCTCGTGTGCGGGATGTAATTTCATCCTCTTCTGTTCCTTCTCCTCTTCTCCTCGTCTTCGACTCCGCAACTGGCTCCTGCTGCTTGTTGCCTCCGCCTCGTCCTCCTAATCCTGGATTCTCCTATGCAGTGGTGTAGGCCAATCGATGCGCCTTCTGTGGTGAGGCCGATGCGTGAGTAGGCAGCTAGTAGTCTGGAATCGCGAGGCGGCGAACATTGCGGCCTCATGCTGCCCGAGAAAGGTAGCCGCCTCATTGTCATATTCGGCGCCGCCACTATTGACCACTATGCCATCAACCTCCTGGAGTTCTACATCCTCGGTGTCGTTGGGTCAGGCCCCATGCCTGAGGCGAATGATATTAAACGCGTCCTGTACAGGGTCAATTTGCATGTTCTGGCTCTCCCTGAGAGCTTTGGGGTTGAGGAAGGTTTACTTTTTCTTGAAGACCCACTTCTCGGAGGTTGGGAGCAAGACTGTAGTTGGTGGCCAATCTTCCAACCTCTAGGTGGCTATGAGGAGCCGCTCGGACAGTCCTGCGTTACAAATTTCGGCACACGAGTACGTGGGCAAGGGCGATGCTGAATTTCACGCAACTCCGGATGATCAGGATTATGATGCTGTTGGTCCTCACCTTGACGACGGAGCATCTTTTCCGTTTGCAGTTCATGCGAGTTACGTGCAGAAGCAGCTTTTCAGGCTGGAAGCCAAGCTTGAGGAAGAACTTGCGACGTACCCAAACTCTCTGCGCTCCGTCAACAACTTGGTGCGTAAGCTGGACAGTTTCACGCCGCGCGAATCCGCGCTCGAGGACTTTGCCAAATCCGCACGCGAGGACTAGAATTGGGTCACCATGTACTCGGACTTTCGCCCACACTTCGACATCCTGAGAGAGCTCCTCGGGCCATCGAGGGCTGCGGCCGTAAAGCTCTGCCTCGTGGACGTCGAGGCCCAGCTCCTGGCCGCATGCAGGACCGAATTGGGGCTGGACGACGACAGCGTCGCTGGTACCGACCCAGACGGACAGCGACACTTACACGCCAGGCATGACGGTGGTCATCGACGACCACACCCCGGCAGAAGAAAGGGCCATGTTGGGTTTCGACGACGGCAGCGACATGGTCAGTGACAATTGCACGCCAGATGAGGCTACTAGACTGAAGATGGCCGAAGCAAGGGCCCTGTTCGGGTTCGACGGCGACGAGTCTGAACACGACTCCGACACAAGCCCACATCCCATGAGCGTGGACCTCCAGCAACAAGCGCGGCACGGGAGAAAAAAACCAGGCGCAAGCGCTTGACTGGCCTTGCCCCCGCCCCGTCCTGACGGTACCGCCGGGAGAGATCGGGATCGCTCCCGTCGCTCCTGAGGCGCATCTTCACCTAGCGGGGCGCCTAGCCCCCCCCGCCCTCCGAGGATCAAGGGATTACTACTGGGCACAATGCTATTCTCGTTGTCTTTCTGATGACGCTTACCTTTGTCGTCTTCTGGGTGACACAACGCACCCCCGAGTGGGGACAGACATGCAGTCCTTCACGAGGCAGGTCCTCGCGATATACAGTTCCTCGTGCTGGTCATTTTCACTTACCCCGGGTGGGGACATGAACGCAGTCCTTCGCGAGGCAGGTCTTCACGATCTTCCGCTCCTCGTGGTGGCAATTTTTAGCCACGTGTGGATCTGCTCCAATGTGAGGGTGTTCCACTTCAACGTGCGCGCGCCGCCATTGTTGTCACCAGGATTACTGTCGCCGCCGTCGCCGACGTTGACGACGATGGCCTGTACGGTACAGCGCTGCATAGTGCAGCATCGGCTCACCCCTCTCGATTATGGTTGTAGATCTGATTTGCGATTTATTTCCATGCGGTCCGTGATTCCTAAGGCACGCGCGTGACATAATTTATCAGGCGTTTGCGGAGGACCCGTACGCGTCAAAAATTGTAGCCATCGTCGTCGTCGCAGCCTTTGCCGTCGTCGTCGTCGTTGTCGTGGTCGTGGCCGTCGGCTCTGCCATCGATCTCGCCAGACTCGTCGTCGGCCTTCTCTGCTACCTCGTGCTGGTGCCCCTGGTCATGCTCCTCTTGTTTCGGCGCTTTTCTCAGAACCCGTATCGTGCAGGCCGATCTTTGAGCTCTTCTACCCGGGCATCGCCTCCTCCAATGGCGCATGGGGGGGGGGACATGCTGGAGTTTCCTCTTCATTCCCTGCCTTTCCCATCCGCCCATCGCTCTCCCATCTCCTCCCTCCTCCCTCTCTGCTTGTCCTTCATCCCGAGCAGACGGAGGATGTGGATGACGAGAAACATGAACGAGGAGGCGGATGAGGAGGATCAGTGCAAACCCGAAGCTCATCAATGATAATGCAATACACCCTCCCCCCGAGTTCCCTCCTCAGAGGCCCCTATGAGGGTACATTGTCGCTGAGGGAGGTGCCCCGTTGGAAGACGACCGTTCGAAAAACCTGAATTGCGCCAGAGCGCCGTTCCTGGGATTTCACCGCCGCGAATCACTGTTACTGTTGCGCCTTGACGGTCCTGAATCGTGCCAGAAAACCATTCCTGCGACGTCAACACCGCGAATCAACGTAAGCTCTGCGCCCTGACAGTCCGACACCGTGTCCAAACAACATTTCTGGGACGTTGACTATGCAACTCTTTGAAACTGCTACAATTCTCTTGCAACGGATGCGCGCGGCGCTAATGCGAGAGCCACATATTGAAAATGAGCCGCACTTTATCCGCGAACCTCTTGCATGAGGCGAGTGTTCGCGGCGCTAACGCGAGAGCCACATGTTGAACATGAGCCGCCCTCCATCTGTGAAGTTCTTGCACTTGTTAGACGAAGGTGCGCGGCGCTAAGGCGAGAGCCACATATTGAAAATGAGCCGCACTTTATCCGCGAACCTCTTGCATGAGACGAGTGTTCGCGGCGCTAAGGCGAGAGCCACATGTTGAACATGAGCCGCCCTCCATCCGTGAAGTTCTTGCATTTGTTAGGCGAAGGGCGCGGCGCTAAGGCGAGAGCTACATATTTGAAACGGCCCGCCCTCTATCCGCGAACCTCTTGCATGAGACGAGTGTGCGCGGCGCTAAGGCGAGAATCACATGTTGAACATGAGCCGCCCTCCATCCGAGAAGTTCTTGCATTTCTTAGACGAAGGTGCGCGGTACTAAGGCGAGGGTCACATTTTGAAAACGGCCCGCCCTCCATCTGTGAATCTCTTGCAAATTATCAGCCTAAGGATTATAGGTGGTGCGGAACTCTCAGGCGAAACGCCCGTCCCGCCCTACCGGCACGCCTTGGGGTGCGACAGGGAGGAGGTATTAAAAGGGAGAGGCATGGAGGTGGAGGAGCAGGCGGAGGAGGAGGAGGAGGAGGAGGAGGAGGAGAAGGAGGAGGAGGAGGAGGTGCAGGCGCAGGAGGAGTCGCCCGGAGGACGACTGGGAGAAAGATGGGGGGGGAGGAGGAGGAGGAGGAGGAGAGGAGGAAGGAGGGAGTGAGGAAGGAGGAGAGGAGGAGGAGGAGGAGGAGGAGGAGGAGGCGGAGGAGGCGGAGGAGGAGGAGGAGGAGGAGGAGGAGGAGGAGGAGGAGGAGGGAGGCGGAGGAGGAGGAGGAGGAGGAGGAGGAGGAGGAGGAGGAGGACCAGTGCAATCCCAAGAGTCATCAACGATGTTGGAATAAACCCTCCCTCCAGGCTGCCTCTTCATAGGTTCCTACAACGGTTCGTTTCCACTGAGGGAATTGCCTCGCTGGAAGACAACCGTTTGAAGACCCTGGAGCATGCCCAAACATTGTTTTCAAGATTCGAACGCCACGGATCCTCTTGACTGTTGCGTCTTGGCGATCCTGAGTCGCGCAAGAACGCCATTCCTGGGACTTCAACACCGCGAATCATTGTACCTGTTGCGCCCTCATGATCCTGAATCCTTCCAAAACGCAATTTCTGGTACGCTGATGATGGGAATCCGTGAATTTCGGTCGATTCTCAAAAACGAATGTGCGCTGCGCTAAGGCGGGAGCCACATTTTGAAAAGGAACCGCCCTCAATCAGTGAAGCTCTTGGATTTGTTTTAGCGCGATTGTACGCGGCGCTAAGGCGAAAGCCACATTTTGAAAACGACCCGCCCTCCATCTGTGAAACTGTTGCACATTTCAAAACGAATGTGCACAGCGCTACGGCGAACGCCACATTTTGAAACCGACTCGCCATCTATCTGTGAATCTAGTGCCAATTTGTAAGTTTCAGCGTCAGAAATGGCGAGGAAATCTCAGGCGAAACGCCTGACACGCCCTAAAAACTTGCCTCGGGGTGCGACAGGGGGACCTTATGTATAAGGAGTGGAGGAGGAGGAAGAGGATGATGATGATGATGCTGCTGATGATGATGATCATGATGATGATGATGATGATGATGATGATGATGATGATGATGATGATGATGATGATGATGATGATGATGATGATGATGATGATGATGATGATGATGAGGATGAGGAGGAGGAAAAGGAGGAGGAGGAATAAGCTGCTTAGACTGCAGGGCCGCGGAGCGGCCCTGGCCAGACCACATGGAGCTGGTACGTGGCTGAAAACCCTTTATATTTCTTTCAGGGTCATAGTCTGTCTGACTACCGCCAGTATCCAGGACGGATGCGCTGGGTTGTTGTTTTACATCGTTTCGGGACCACTGGAGGGCCCTCATCGTCACATTTTGATCTCCTTCGAAATGCTTGCCCGAACGCAGCCCAAGCCACGTCTGTGGCTTTGACTCCCGTTCTTGGAGTAAAGGAGCCCTGCAGTTGCTTTGCCGTGTTCTGGTTCTTGGGGCTCTTCCAGGACCGTCCCGAAAACACTCAGAATGAGAAGCTGTTTCTGGGATGGCCCTGGGGTCCAGGACCCATTTCCACCAGGACCCCTCTCCTAGACACAGCATGGTTTGTCTCATGTTCGTTGCTGTCACGCCTTGGTCCCGCGTCCTTCTCCCCGTGCTCCTCCCGCGGTGGATGCGGTGGGGTAGCTCCCCTGCACCGCCTCGCAAGGCACGGGGATGCCGATGCCCCTTCTGTATGGTCGCGGGCAGCTGCCGATCATGGCGGCTCGCTTCTGGTCTGCTCCTGTTATTTTCTTCGGGTTTTGGGCGGTGGCACAGGGGCAATCGTTGCCGCCCATTTTTTTGGTGGGCTTCCAAGTTTGCGGTCCCGTGACTTGCCTCTGGGGGGCAGCACATTCAGCAGATTCAGCAGCGTTCCTCTGCGCAGCCAATGTTTTTGGCTACTCCTTCGTGGCGGCTGATTGCGGCCCCTACACCCTACTCGCTAGCCATGCCGCGAAATTATGCGATTCTTTTAAGACGTGTGTTTGCTGTGGTGCCTGCGCTTGTGGAAGTAAGTGAGTCTCCTCGAGGTGTGTCTCAGGCCTGGAATTCGTCGCGGGGTGCGACATCGATGCAAATCTCGGTCTTGGGTTGGAAGGGCTTACGGTCAGGAACTTTGGCTTAGCGCGTCGTTCCGCCGGTTCTGGCCCACTACGCTGCGGCACGACACGCTATCCACGTCTCTATTCCCAAGCATCAACGTCCAAAGCTGTTCCCAGCCCCCCGCCCCGCGGAGCGGAGCGACACGCTATCCGCTTACAGGGCATGGCGTGTCGCCAGGGCCGCTGCCGCGACAGGCTATGCAAAAGCTCCCGCTCGTAGACTGTGCGTTCGCATAGCTCCGTGGGGGCGGCTTTCGCGCTGAGCACACTGATGAGTGGTACAAATCGCGGTGCTTGCATTCTGTCCTTTTCGCCTCCTCCTCCCCTCTCCAAAGGGACGCTGAGAAAAACTCTTCGGACGCTGGTTGGAGGGAAACGTTGGGAGGGGAAAGGGGCAGGGAGCCAGAGGGATGGGCGAGGAGCGACAGAGGGAGTGAGGGACGGGGGCGGGGAGAGGGAGAGGGAGACAGAGTGAGAGAGAGGCTAGGGGAGTTGGATCCCGAGTGAAATCTGAACGGATAGGGCTATTGGACCAGTCAGGCAGTTCCCCCCCTCGAGGGATCCTCCCCCCAAGCAAACCTGGATCCCCTGTTCCCCTTTGGCTTGGTTATGGTGCCCTCTCTCTTCGCAAGGGTCCCAGATCTCCGACGACTTGATTTTTTTTGAGTCGCGGGATCGCAGAGCTCTCGACACCCTCTGGGGCCATTTTCATCCTGAGACGCTTCTTGACGGCCTCGGGGTCCGGAAGCGGTCCCCGGACGCCGACACTTCGGACAAATCTCCAGCGCGATGTTTTCAAGTCGCCAGGGGCCTCTGGAGGCTTCCGGGTGCCACCAGAAAGCCCAAAGCGTTCAGAAAAACTAAGATCTTTGATCCAGGGCCGTTCGAGGAGATGGAGCGGAAGAGCGCGGAAGAGCTGTTGCCTCCCCAGCCGGCCCCGCTTGGCGGCGGGGCGAGGCAGCCTGGCGGAGGCCGCGGAGCCAGGGGCGACGCCGCTGCTGGGGGGCCGCAAGGCTTGCGAGCTGGGCGGCACCAAGGCGGCCCGCTGGCTGCAGCCGTCGAGGGAAGAGACACGATGGCCATGACCGCGGTCTCTCGGGATCTTGTCGATGCAGATCTTGGTCGCGGTCCATGCCAGCTGTCGTCGATTCCCCTGGATGATGCACGAATTGGCGATGACCAGGATGTGCCAAGATCGATACCCACTTCTCCGCGCGATGTCATGGTCATCGTGCTTTTCCTTCTGAGTCGGTGGCAGTGGGCTCTCTGCTCTGCCAGCGAGCGTGAGGGATCTGTGCCCGTCTGCCTCTTCTGGGGCCCTCGCTGCCACGGTCGTGTGCAGCTCGAGGGTCTGCCCAGGATGGGCCCTGGAGGGGGTCTGGCGACCAATCTGGAACGGACATCTGGCCAAGCCTGCGGTCCAGGACGATGCACGGCGACGTAGCTCTGTTAGTCGTTCTGTAAGTTTTGTTTCTGCTGTTGGTTCTACGGGGGGGGATATCTGTCTGTCGGTCTGTCTGTCTGTCTCTCTCTGTCTCTGTCTCGCCCGCGGACGGCCTCTAACAAGATGCGCCCACCAATCTCCGCTGGCCCCATGGGGCACGCAGCCGCGCTCGCACTGTCCGTACTCAGCGCTCGTTCGTTCGTTTTTGTTTTGTTCCTCTCTCTCTCGATCTATCTCTTTCTATATCGCTCTCAGGGGTCCAGCTCACCCACTGACGCTCACAGCGTACTGGATGGTCACACGGCCTGGGAAGATTCGATTACGGTGGTCGTGTGAGTGCATAAACAATCGGACATAGTGACTCTCTCTCTCTCTCTCTGTCAGTTTTTTGTTGTTTTTGTTTCTCTCTCTCTCTCTCTCTCTCTTTCTGGTGGCACCATTTTGAGCACACTCTTTCGGCGGCCGCGCATTCTGCCTTTGGCGTTTTCGCGCATGCGCCACTGCCTTTGCGCTGTCGCCTCGGTGCCCGTTCTCGCTTCTCCACCTCTCGTCCTTCCATCTTGCGCTGGGCAGGACGCTTTCGTTGCAGCTCGCGTGACTCAGTTCCTAAGCGGCGGTGCGTCTGCCGAGCATCGAGGCAAGAACGACGATGACCATGACCAACGTATCGCTGGATCTTGCCGACGCCGATCTTGGTCATTCGGTCCTCGCTTTCTCTTCCTTCAGAACAAGCTGGGGCGTCATGCTCGGCTCAATGTTGCTCCGTGCATCCCAGTGCTGCGAATCCCAGGCTGCGTGTTCCGCTTCAGCGGGCCGAACCTGTTCCTGGTGCGTTTGTCTTATCGTACTCAGGTTTGAGGCAGCGTGGCAGGTCTCCGAGGAGCTTTGCGAGCTTGTTCCCTCCGGAAAAGCAGAGAACAACACTTCGACTGCGCGATATGCGGGCGCTAGGTGGGAATCCATTGGTCAGGTGTGCCAAGTTTGCGCATTAGCATGCGACGCTCGCTGTGGAAAGCGAAGTTGGCACCAGCTGGGTGTAATGAATACCGTGTGCCCGGCGAGCTTCGCTAGAAGGGCCAGCGGGAATTTGTTCATCATTGCGGACGGGCTTCCTCCCGCACGCCCCCTCCCTTCCACCTCTTTCACCTCCCCATCCTCCCACCCTCCAATTCTCCGCATCGCCCTCTTGCTCCTCCTGCTGCTTAAGTGTTGGGTCGAAGCGCCCCGTCCCCCATAACCTCTGTCAGCAGTGTCGGCCAGCGTCGACGGTGGACATCTGCTCAGACGCTCATTTTGCAAACAGCTGGGTGAGGGTGGTGTGTATATATCCACAGAGAGAGAGAGAGAGAGAGAGAGAGAGAGAGAAAGAGAGAGAGAAAGAGAACGAGAAAGACCGAGGGGGAGAGGGAAAGGGAAACAGGGAAAGAGAGATAGAGAAAGATACATCTATATATATAGAGAGAGAGAGAGAGAGAGAGAGAGAGAGAGAGAGAGAAGAGGACGAGGCTTGCGATAAACACATCTATTTCCCTAACAGTGCGTGCACTCAGGGATTCTTACTTCCCCTTTATGGAACTGGGCCCATTTGCCACCCCAGCGGCCCCGTTCCCGTCGGTCGCCGCCATATTTGGCCCGTTTGCCGTCGTGGCGGCCCCATTCTCGTCCGTCGCCGCCCCATTCAGTCCAAGGCCCGCCCGTCGCCGCCGCCCCTTTGCACCCCCCTCCCGCGGTTGCATTGCAATGTCATTGCGTTGCAGTCGCATTGCATATTGCGTTGCATTGTGTTGAATTGCTTTGCTTTGCTTTGCTTTGCTTCGCTTTAAACAGCTTTGCTGCTTTGCGTTGCTTTTCTTTGCATTGCGTTGCATTACTTTGCATTGCCTTCCACTGATTTTCATTTCTTTGCATTGCTTTGTGTTGCGCTGTATTGCTTTGCAATACCTTGCGTTGCTTTGCGTTGCTTTGCATTGTCTGACATCGCTTTGCATTGCTTTGTTTCGTTTTGCACTGCCTTGCATTGCTTTGCATTGCGCTGCGTTGCGTGGTGTTGCATTGTTTTGCATTGCTTTGCATTGATTTTGATTTTGATTGCTTTGCATTGCTCTTCACTGCTTTGCGTTGCTTTGCATCGCTTTGCATTTCGTTACATTGCGTGGCGTTACATTGCCTTGCTTTTCATTGCTTTGCGTTGCTTTGCAAGGTTTTGCAAGACTCTGCCGTTTCAGAACAACGGTTGGGCGCTGAAGCTGGCTCTTGGCCCGTGCGCTCTTGACGCCGCGTTGCGGCGGGTCCATGAGGCAGATTTGTTTTGCGCGTGCAATGTCGAAACTCGGGTCGCCTCCGCGCGAACGCAGAAAGAGGGCGAGTGGTACCGACGTGGGTGGTGGCAGGGGGGATGCGAGCGCGAGCGGCAGCGGAACTCCGTACGTTCCTTCGGGACGGGAGCCTGGCCGACACGCGGGCGAATCATCCCCCTTGTCGCCCGCAGGGCAAGACAATGGTGGGCGACACGAGGTTCGCGAGGGGTACGTAGGCCCGAGGATCACCCCCGAGGAGACACCGTCTCCTCCGGTCAAGGGCTCAGGCATCATCGGGTTTTCGGGCGGCCATGTCATCGCCCATGGCCCAATCGTGTGCCACTGCTATAGGGAGGAGGACGGTGTGGTCTGCATGTTCGTCCAGGCCTATGACAATGGCGACGTCCCAGCTTTTAGCAAATCGGCTGGACTCTCGCGTACGAGCGCGTAGCCAAGGCCATGGACGGCGAGCACAGCTTGACGCTCGTCGATATGATTCCCGATCCTTCGAGTCCTTGCCACTACATGTGTTACCACCGCCACGGCAGCGATCAGCACGCTGACCCAGACTATTGGCTCAATCGCGGCACCGTGAGCTTGACGCTTGGGTGGTGCACCATCTATGTCGCCCCGGGCAAGCACACCAGTGCCTGGGCGCGGAATATTCGAAGTATGCAACAATTGTGGACGAATGAAAAGAGTTTGGAATATTGGGAACCATTTTTTCCAAATTTGGTCGAACTATTGGTCGAACTTCTAATTCTTTCAAAATTCCCAAATCCAGGTGACCTTTTGTCGATTGCTCCCAACATTTTCGTAACACTTTCAAAAGCAGGGCGTATTTGCCAGTCTTCTCAGAATTCTTTTCGTACATTTAGATTTGGTTTCCCCTTTGTTTATTTTTTTAAAGCGCCAAGTCCGGGCGTACTTGTCAAATTGGTCGAATTGTTCAAACATGCAAATCTGGGGTTTTCTCCAAATAGGATTGCCCAATCGAGTTCTAATTCAAACCCTGCTAATTGGTCCGTTGCCCCCCCTAATTCCTATGCCCCCCAACTCCTGTGGCCCCCCCGCCCCTCCCCCCCCTTTTGCCAATGGCCCCCCCGTATTTCCAGTGCCCCCCCCCAGATATGTCCAATGGCGAGTCCGATGGATTCCTGAGGATCCCTATGAATCGCTTGTCCTTGCTTGCTCTTGCGTGCTCTTGCTTGCTTGTTCTTGCGTGCTTGCTATCGCTTGCTTGCTCTTGTTTGCCCTTGCTTGCTTGTAATTGCTTGATCGCTGGCTCTTGTTTACTTGATATTGCTCGCTTGCTCTTGCTTGCTTCCGCTTGCTTGCTTCCGCTTGCTTAATTTTGCTCCTCCCGTCTTCCTCCCGTCCTGCTTCCGTCCTCCTTCCGTTCTCATCCCATCCTCCTCTCGTCCTCCTCTTGTCCTTTTATCTATTTGGAGTCAACGCGGGCTGATATCTCATACTCTTTTAAGCTTTGTCAAACTTTGTCAAATTCCCAAAACCGAGGTGTGCTGCTTGTTCAAAATTTTCGAACTTTATCAATATTCCGACCCATTTTGTTTATTCTATTGTCTTTTCAAATTCATTTTTATGCATTTATTAATGTATTTTTTTATTCATGTATTTTTATTTATTTTTTGTATTATTATTATTATTATGTTTAGTTCCTTGTTTTTCGTACCCTATGTGTATCGGAGGTGAGGGGGTGAGATCGAAGTGGAACGGAGAGCCCCCCTACCGGGAAATCGATTTCGGTTTCGTGTTCGTGCGTGCCGTGCGTGCGGGCGAGGCGAAGCTGCGTGGGCGGGCGAGAGAAAGTCTCCTGTGGCTGAGGCGCGGCCGGACCAAATGTCTCCCTTCCGGGCGGCCGGGGGCCCGCGGTGTCCCGCCGGTGTCCCGCTGGTGTCCCGTGTGGCTGAGGCGCGGCCGGACCAAATGACTCCCTTCCGGGCGGCCGGTGGCCCGCGGTGTCCCGCCGGTGTCCCGCGGCGTCCCGCGGTGTTCCCGCGGTGCCGTCCGCGGGTCCCGCCGGTGTCCCGCTTTGTCCGCGATGATGATGATGATGATGATGATGATGTGATTGATGAATGATGAATGGGAATGAGGTTGATGATAGGATGTTGAGGATGATGATAGAGATGATGATTGATAGGTTGATGCTGATGCATGGGATGATGGTGCTGATGATGCTGATTACGGATGCTGATGATGATGGTGATGCGATGATGAGGACGATGATGATGATGATATGAATGATGGTGGTCCCGATGATGATTGATGATGA